GTATTCATGTTGTTTAATGCTTGGCTGGACATAATTAACCCATAATACAATTAGAAACAATACTTTGACGTGTAGCTACTGTTAACTGTACATCCACTCTTTGCTGTGTGTTGTTGTCCAACAGGTAAAACCAGCCACTATTTCCAGTACAGGTGGTGGATGGTTATAGAAAGGAAGTTTGAAGGAGAATAATGCCTCAGCAGGCAGAAATGTTGTTTGTGTGCATGCTTCCATGTCTGTGAGGGTTCTTGTTTCACACTGTTAAAATAAATGTAACCATAAACTTCATAAATAAACATAAACTGCTTGTCTTTCTTTTTTACTTGTTTGCTTTTTTAATTAAAGTTTTGTACAATTGTTGTGTTATTTGACACTGTTATGTTATGTTAGTTGATAGGACACACTATTAATTCATTAATACGTTATATTGTAGCTCTTTCCCAGGAAAAACAGCTTCTTCCACACCGATCATGGTGCAATTTACATCACTTTTTTTAAGAAAAAAACCTAAGCAGTTAACATGAGCAGTGATGGCAACAGAATACACAAAACCACCTGATACAAAACACCTGAACATAAACTGAACAGTCAGTTGTGCTACACAAACCTGATTCATCCAGTGCAGTCAACACATCCTTCTCTCTGACTCTCTCGATGTCAGCATCCACGCCTCTGTTAAGACTTAAAACTGCCTCCTGCTGCTGCACCATTATAAACAGACTGGTCTAAATTAGGTCATCTCTATCATGGTCATCACACACACACACACACACACACACACACACACACTCATGAAAGGCCTACTTTCTCACTGCTACTGATGGTGCTAAAGTGCTGCATTTGCAGACTGACCTCCGCTACTGTGAGTGCAGCAACACGTAGCCAAAAACATGTACTTGAGTGTGTGTGCCTGTGTGATCATATCTGTATGTGGGTGTGTGTGTGTGTGTGTGTGTGTGCGTGTGTGTCCATATGTGAAGCAAGGACAACTATGCAAATCTCTCTCCGTAAAACAGAACAGCAGGGTCTACTAACCTGCTTAGAGGAAGTGTGCTCACTCTGCTGCTTGCTAACCTGCTTTGCATCAGTTACATTAACGTTTTTTTATTGTAGAGCAGTTTGAGCACAGTAGAGATTAACATTGTAACATGAGAGAGCAGCTTGACTCTGTTATAGAGCTAGATATTCCCCACAGGTGTCTGAATATCCACAGATATGCTGCATATAGCCACTACATCGTACATTACAAGGCCAAAACTATAATATTTTTAATTCTTCATATTTTATAAATCAAGCTTAATGCATTTGGGGAAGCCACTGAAGGAGAAACATACTAACTTTCCACTACTGTTGGTTGGTTTCTTCCAGAGAAGAGTCTTATTTTCAGTATGTCTCTGATATGATGCATTTTCTCTAAAATATTACAAACAAGTCATTGAATCAGGATTTTGGGTTAATATTCTGCAAAGACCTGCAGGCTAATCTGTTGTTCAGTTACAGCACAATAACACTGTATTAAAACCTCAGTATTTAACTTCAAGTTGCTTAAATACTTCAGTCTGGAGATTTCAAGCACTGAAGCTAAGTGCCTTTATAGAGAATAAATATATTTTCATTACTATTAATTACCATAAATGAACACCAACCAGTCTAAGAGACCGACATGAACATGAGTATCATGCAATCAGTAAGACTAAAAGCCTACAGCAACATTTGTATTATTAGTATGTTGGCATGCTATTAGCATTAGAGTCAGTAAAGCTAAGGCTTTTACCAGTATCATAGTCTCATACTCTTTAAATAACATTAAGTTTTATATAAAAACTAGACGTAAAATGTTGCATTTAACTTCATGTCTCATACGACCCACAAATCCATCAGACTGAAGGATATCCAACATTCACATGAAGACATTATTCTGTCTTCTTTCTATTGTGTTTAATAAATATCACCATGTAACATTTGCAAAGACAAACAAACTGTGCTGCTATGGTGGCTTTCACTGCTGTACCATGACCATGTTACACTGCACTGTTTGTACCATGGCTGCTAATAAAACTGTGTACAAACTGCCCATTACCATCAAATTATGATAAATAATTGTCTAACAGCGGAACACAACCTGATATTATCCAGCCACTGTTCATAAAGAGGTTGCATGTTACTGTTATATGACACCAGCACATAATGAGGTACAACATGTCTTTTATTAGTTTCTCCAAAAACAACCGCTCCTAAAGCACAGTGAAATTATTAATGTTTCTGTTGGGGTAAATAAAAGCACTGGATAAAGGTTGAGGAAGGATGAAATAGTAAGACAGGTGATTCTGGTTTGAAGTTGAGTGCTTTGACCTTCGCAGTCACCGTAAACTGTTGGTATTAAAGTGCTGCCAGTGAACTCGAACCCTTAAAGCAGCTTACATGCATATAAACGTAAGAGACAAGTGACAGATAAACGTCTCAGTGGCCAGTTCTAATGCAAAGTGGTAAAATCCCATAAATGAGTCCTAACCTTGGTTGTTTTGTCTTTACTACTGTCCTGTGAGTGGATCTCTGCCGGTCAGTGACTGAGTAGAGTGGAATAATCCACCTTCAAACAGCCAGTAGAAAGGAGGGAAACATTCAACTCTGATGATTTTTAACTCTGACTGTAACAACTTACTTCACTTTTCCATACATGATGGTTTCAGGCGTGACTGGCCTTGTGGAAAGTACCAGAGAATCTTAAGATTACTGACTCGAGTGGCCACATGTTCAGAAAAATAAAAAGGCACAACTATTTACTGACACCAAATACAGACGCTCCACACTTTAACTGATAAGATGCCGTATAAGGTGTGTGTAGACTTCTCTACAGTTTCCATGGAGTTGCTTGATAAGCTATCAGAGTGGGAAGAAATGTCTAAAACAGACACAGCGATGCTTCTCTGATATGTATTCAATGAGGAAAACATTCATTTAGGTTAAAACATGTCATAATTCGGGTTATAAAAACGAACAGTATGGTGCAAGCTGAAGTCTTGATCCGGGTGCTGCGACATGTTTGTAAAATAAGAGCTTATCTGTTTTTTCCTCTGCAGTGCAGTTAGGGGAGGCACCCCTGTTCTCTTGCTGAGTCTCTTTCTTGCAAACAATCTGCTGTGTGAGAATTAAGGAGATAACAGAAACTTGAAATCCAGGCTTAAATATTTTGTGGAAATCTTACGTCAAACGGTTTAAATTTGAAACATCAGCTCAAGTAGATTGAGGCTTATAAAGGGCAATTTGGGATTAGTGCTGTATATGAATTTAATGCCATTAAAGTCTCCAACGTGTTGCCCAAGGGCAACTGGTAGCCCGCAAGACGCCTATGAGGCCCACAGAGCACTTTGTGTAATCTCAATCTTAATCTTAAACTCTCTTTTTTGCACTTGCAAGGAAGTGTGCAAATGGGCTCCATCGTGTCAAAACATTCAAATACATGACTGATATGTTTATATTAATTTTAAAAACGTATATTCAGAGTAGCCTTCATTAAATGCTTTGAGTTGAAACCACGCTTCCTTACTCTGCCTAAAACCTCACCCACTTTTTCTGGGTTGCACTATATTTTCATGATGTATCAGTTCAGTGGTTTAATCTGATTGGGCTGAGTTTACTCTCGGTTCATATTAATATGATCCTTCAGTGTTAATACCACAAACAGAGAAAAAATACTCCTCCGAAACCCGTTGGTGAAAATGACTAAAGGTGAAAATACACACTGTTATTCTATTAAAAGCATCAGTTTAACGCTGATGTTCATGTTCATGTTCGTGTTCACTTCTGCTGCAAGAAGAAATGGTTCTGATGAAAACTGTTGCTGTAGTGAAGGTCTGTTGATCTCCCAGAGTAACAGAGAAACTGTGTCTGGAAAGTCACGCTGCACTGGAGTTTTTAAAAGTATTTGAAGCTTTACAAACAAAATTCCATCCACTTCCATTGTGTGTGTGGTGACAGACGTTTCAGAGGCGGATACCTCAAAACCTCAGCAGATAAAAACCAAATTATCTGCGTGATTAAACATGTGGGTTGATAAAATATTCTATTCACAGATGTGGGACAATATGTTCTTGGTGAAGTGGCCCTTTAATGTCTATAGTAACTACGGTCCACAGTGAGTGCACAGCATGTTTGAGCTCAGCAATGAGGAACTAAAATCAGAATTAAAATAGATATTTCTGTGGGATGTTTGCCATTGTTTAACTGATGCGTGTGTGTGTGTGTGTGTGTTAAACAAGAAATACTGTGTAACAGAGCTCACTGACATTGTTATAAAGCCAGTGAGTGAAGTTTGTTGTATTTGACTCCTGATTGAAGCGGAATCCTCTACAAAGTCTCTGTCCTTCAAATATTAGAGTTTAAGTTTTGTTTCGAACTTAAAGTCCTAAAAACAACTGAAAACTTTAAAGCAGTTAAATTTACAGTCCAGAGTTGAGGTCGACTTGTCTTTCAGTTGGAGTAAAACGCTCAAAAAAAAGCTATTGACGAAAATACTTTCACTTCTTGTAAAACCACTTCCTGCACTGAAGTTGTGATCGCAGTCAACCAATGAAACTAAAATCAATCACACTTATATTTCCTTCCAAACTCATCAAGAAATTCCCATAGAGCACAACACCATTTATTGAGCCCTGAGAAACACGGACAGCTTCTCTGTCCAGACTGTAAGCTTCACTGTGAGGGGGACACAGATAACTGAGCAGGCAGAAGTAAGACATGCTTGATTTGAGCCAGCAGCCACACATCCCCTTCTTAATGAATTCGCTAATAGTTTTTTACCGCCTTGAATTTGCATTTGATCTTAAAATAGAACTTTGATTCTTTAAATGTTTCAAGAAAAAGATATATATATATATATAAAGAGAGAGAGATAAAGATTATTTTTCAGACTTGTCACAAACTTGAATCAGTGATATAAAGTGAAACTCAGAAGAGTGATCGGTGACATTCAGCAGCAGCACGAGAACAGACGCTCTGACCTTGTAAACTTCTCCGTAGGTTCCTCCTCCGACTCTCAGCAGTATCTCAAAATCATCCTGAGGGTTCCTGGTGGAGATATCCAGAGCTGCCCGATGCTGGAAATCCATTCTGATGTTCATGTGACTAATATTCCTCCTCAGGCATGTCACACACTCTCTTTCTCTCTCTCTTTCTCTCTCACACAGACACACACTCACACACTCGGTGGCATCTACATCTACAAAACAGATAAACTCTCATAAGAAGTGAGCTGCTGAGAAAAGACACTCTGTCTCTCTGGCTTCTGTCGGTCGACTGCTGTCACACATACACACACACACACACACACACACACCTTCCTGTTTCTCTTTCTGAGCCTGCAATCGATCCTCCCTACCTCTGTCACTCCCTCCCTTACACCTTCCTCTCAAGCATTTTTTTCTGTTCATTTGCATAATCCAATTCTGTTTCCTGTTGGCTGTGTGCATGTGAGACAGGCAGAGACAGACTGTAAGGCTTTTATGTCCAATGTTTTACAGATTTGTGTGTTTGATTTGTGTGTGTGTGTTTGTTTGTGTGTGTGTGTGTGTGTGTGTTTCTGTACATGTGAGGATGAACATACAAAAATATGTGAAATATGAGCCAGTTCTTACTTTTTAAAGAGCTAATGGGGATAGAGAGATCAGGATTAAAGGTAAAGATCCTCACAACTGCAAAACAAAGATGAGTGTGTGTGTGCGTGCGTAGGTGTGACTGTGTGTGTGTGTGTGTGTGTGTGTGTGTGCATGCGTGTACACATGGGCACATACTTTGGGAACATATGTGTGGCCTGTAGCTGATTGACAGTTGTTAGTTAGTTTCAGCGTAAGTTTCAGTCTCAGCTTCACACCTACTGAAAAGTGTCTGTTTGTGTGAGTGTGAATGTGTGAGTGTGAATGTGTGTGTGTGTGTGTGTGTGTGTGTTGCAGCTCTGCAAGTCACTCGTGCTTGGAGCTCCCTGTCAGCTTCCTGTTCAGAAGCCTTTCCCCGCTGATAAATAAGGGGCACCCGTTACATCCTGTTAGCAAGTTAAAGTCACTTTATCAGCTGTGTGTATCTTCTCTGGAAACTCTTTGTTATTTCTTCTATTTAAATCACTTTCAACGGCCTAAATGTAGCATTCACATGCCTGAACATCGGATCTGGTTAACTGGTTAATAAATTACTCAAAGTACAAGTTTGATTATTTTTAGGGTGTGCAGGTAAAGACATATAGATCAATCTCCCACTCTCCATCTCTTCAGAAGAGATTCATTATTATCATGACATCAAAGATTACAGTTCCACATAAAAACAGAGCTAATGCTAACTAGCTAACTACATTTTCACCTGCAGGTGCAACTTACTTCCCTGAGCTTGCAGAGGTCAGAAGAGGAGTTTTTCAGGAGGAGAAAGAGCTTCAAATAACCAGGGTCTGGTTAAAAAGTGTCCAGATGCGGTCAGGGATTGTCTCTGGTTGGGTTTCACTCCGTCATCATCGCATCGCAGTGGTGCTTAATTTTTCTTCGTAGAGGTGTAAGAAATTTAAAGCAGCACTATGTGAGACTTGGCTTCCCCGGTTGTAAATATGGACGAATGTATTGATCGATGCTGTAAGATTACTTATGATTAACAGCCAAACATCAAGCAGAAGTGCAACAACACAACACAGAGCAAGCAGCTGATATCACTGAGCAGTCCAACAGAAAGGAGGCCAGCTCGCCGTCTGGCCCCCCACCACACCAACCAACACTCCCACGGTGATCTGAGCACACAGTCCCAGGCAGTTCAGCTAAGCTAACTAGCTAATAGCAGCTACATTTCACAGCAGTTATGTTACTGTCCACGAGAGGAGATGGAGGACATCAGACTGAACACCATAGAGCAGTACTGCTAGATAAAATACATTAAAGGAAAGAAAGAAAGAAAGAAAGAAAGAAAGAAAGAAAGAAAGAAAGAAAGAGAGAAAGAAAGAGAGAACCTCTTCAGTGTCTCATATGAAATCATATTTATCACATTTTCTCAATGGCTTCCTGTATTTTTTTCTGTGCCTGGTTGTTTTACTCTTGCAGCGAGCTGCTACTGCAGGATGTTCAAAGTTTCATTTTGTCTTGTCTCATCTTCTCCAGAGATGCAAGAAACAGATGCATACCCTCGCAGACTACTTGCTGCGTTAAGAACCGGCTGATCTACAAAGAGCCTCTGTGACATGATGAAAAGTGTCAATAAAGCTGATGAATGTGTTGTATTAAAGGGTTAAGTCAAAGAAGAAACTGTGTCTGTCTTGGCATTAAATCATGAAACCATCTTCATCGTTTGACATTTATCCCCCTGCTCTGTCTGCCTACAGTCTCATTTCTCTCAGCATGGCTCACAAACACCCACATGTGACAGACACCAAACACAGGCCAGTTAACCACAAATAACCGCCTCGACCTCAACGCAGCCCAGGGAGCCAAACTGATGGAACTATTAATACAGCACGAAGCATCAGTAACACCTGAATGGGTGAGTTTGCACATTGTCCTCCACAGCACTGACCTACGACCTCCAGACGGTCTGCAGGTTTGACTGTGAGGGAAACAAACAAACGGACAGACAGACGGTGACCGAGCTCCTGGGAGCAGCACGGGGCCATGACTAACGGCTGTCAATAAAAAAAACATCAGTCCAGTAAAACCAACGTCTAGAGGAGCCGTTGAGTGTGCGGGGAGCCCACAGGAAGCTTCAGACAAACATGCTTTTGAGCATGCTCTATGACCCAAAAACACAGACGCCTGCTTTCATAGCTCAGACATACGGAAGCCGAGAACGGCCATGGATTTTTTTTTTTTATGCACTCATTATGTTATCTCGTGATAAAGAATTCATTATTTCATTATCTCGACATAACAAAGATCATTATCTTGTGATAACGAATTAATTAATAATGTGTTCGTCTTGACTTTAAACTAATGCGATAACTGCCAAGCAAACGGCTTCTTTCAACTTACTGGTCGCTAAGCTACGGCCAGTGGGCCTTACGGAAGCCGTTCGCGATTAGTTTAAAGTCAAGACGCATTATTAATTAATTTGTTTCCCCAAGCCTGAGCTGATATCTTTAATTGTTTTTTTGTCCGATCAACAGCCCAAAGATATTTAATTTAATATTATAACGGACTCAGAAAACCAGCAAATATTCACATTTTGAGAATTGTTGTTAGTTTTTTAAAGCAGGCCTTGATTCTGGCGCCCCCCTGTGGACAAAAGTGGTCCTGCCTCCACTGCCTCATATTGATTTCAGACATACCCTCTTTTATCGTTTTATTGCGTTCACATTTGGGGAGTTTTGGGCAGCTGTCCTTTAAGTTGGTGGCTTTGTGTTACCCACCTCGAGGAAGACCCTGGACCCTCACTGGGTCGCTCTGTAGCTCGTTCCTGCCCTTTCACCTCCCCAGATGGAGGAACATGGAAAAAGAAAGTTGCTGTCATAACATTATTGAGACTGTGGGCAAATGTCAGACAACTCGGAGCAGAAAATTAAAGGTGGCATTTGTTTTAGGTCTGTGGTCATACGAGCCAGTGCACAGTGGGGGAGGTGTTATGGTGTAAAAAGTGCTCATGTATATGTAAAAAAGAAAAGCCATACATAAGCATTTAAAAGCTGCCGTATTATTCTTATAAAGCCGGTGGAAGACTGAAAAAGAAGTGAAAGATAACAAACTATAACAATACATCCAAATATTGTTGATAATAATTGCTCTAAAGTAAGAGTACAGCCACGTCACATGAGGAGGAAGAACGATTGAAACAAATATTTAACACTGAGACCTTCGTTAGGCGGTAACTCATTACTACTAATAATATTACTTTCTTCAGTAACTATTAGTGTAACTAATTTAGTAATAATATAGACACTCCTCCAATAAATTATTAGTTACAATACTTTTGTTGCAACCCCTCTACTTTAGTTTAGTTTAAAACAATCTGATCACATCCGTGGATTCATTTTTATAATCTTGGAGGAAATTAGTTTGGAAGATGGAAACATTCACATTACTTTGATTTTAACAAACAAAACTGTATTTTAAACGTCGTAAAGTCTGGATTTTGGGGAGAAAGGATGCAATTACCAATTAGTATAGTATAACTAGTAGTGTAACTAATTACTGCTTGCAGGGAGGAATAAGTAAAGTAATAACATTACTTACAGTAATGAGTAATATGTTTAATTTAATTTAAGAATTTAAAGTAAGTAACTAAGTAACTAACCAAACACTGACTGAGACAGAGGGAGGCTGCTAACGATGTTTGCCACTGGTGAGTTCACTGCCCTCTAGTGGTAACAAGAGGAACTGCAACACGTGAAATTCAATTTAAAAATATAATAAAGATAAAATAAGATAAAATGTTCCTTTATTGATCTCTGTGAGAGAAATTCAAGTTTGACACAACAGCACAGAGGAATAATATAGTGCGTAAAGTACAAAAGTGTAAAAAAAATACAATAAAAACTAATAAAATAAGAACATTATAAAGATATAATAAAAAATATAAAGACAAAAAAATGTAAACAGTATAACTAAACTGTACATGTGCGATTATCATTATTATTATTTTCTAACTTCAGCACAAATGTCAATGTCAAATATTATCATTAACGCTAATTTTACGTATTTAATTAGCTGCAGTACCAAACTGTGGCCACAAGGGGGCAGTAAAACTCAACCGTCTCCCACTGAAGCTATTTACAATGTATTTAGAGTGACGGGTGTTTTCCCGCCATCTAGCGGTCACAGTTTGTAACTGCAACACAATTTAAAAAAATCAGCGTCACGATAGCATGCTAACACTTCCGGTTAATACTTTCAAAATACAGGGACAAAAACTAAAGCAACCGGAAAGGAAGAAGTACAATAAAATAAATAAAATAGACGAGAGTTACGTGGCCAACAACGGCGGTCAAAGTAGCGTTAGTGCTGACTGTATTTTTACAGTGTTAACAACTTTTAGTTAGCAAGGCTACCTCATAGCGGTCCGTCGGTTAAGTGGGTCCGTATACTTTCCGGTCCGCCTGTGCGTCGTTCTTTCCGGTCCGACCCGTTTCTCCCTCCGCCCCGGTGCTTTTTCTCTCCGCGGCACACGTGAGGATTTAATCCGGTTTTCGCTTTAAAGTTTCCTCTAAACGTTTGGACCAACATGTCGTCGTCTTTCGAGCAGATGAGGGCGAACGTGGGTAAACTCCTGCGAGGAATCGACAGGTATTGATGACGCTGTGAGCGGATCGATAACCGGCTCGCAGGCTAACGTTAGCCTAGCCTGGCTGCTAATGTCGTGAAGCTAACGTTTTGCTCCTTTCACTGATATTAGTGTCAACACTGTTAATTATTGATTACATGTTATAATACATTAACATTAAAACTGGAACTCTTCCTGTTTTAATGTGTACGTCAGCTCAGATCTGCAAACATTTCCCCTTTTAACATCCAATAATGAGGATTTCTTATAATATTTGTAATATTTACTATTTACTAAAGTCCTGTATTAGATTATTAATTGATTTAAAGTTAAATTATGTGCTGAAAGCTGCTGATTGGAGCTGCCATCAGCTCGAACAAGCGAATTGTGGTTATATTAGACACAAAGCAAAATATTTACAACTCGAGCCACAAAAGCACTTTTAGCCTGTAATTTTTTATTTAGTGACAAACTCAGAGAGGAAGTTCAGTTCAGTGTCTGTCTCCTTTTCCCATCTGCGTTGACACAGATGTTGACAGATGTTGACAGATGTTACCTGCTGAAGACTGATGCAGAAAGCTGCCAGCTGTTGTTCACATACAGCTGAGCTTCCCGCTGACCCTGCCTTTAATAACGCTGTAATGAAGACTTCTGTTGTACTGAGACAAGACGAAGGGCTTTGTGGAACCTCACAGACACAAATATGAGCTCACAAAAGAGAAATGACGTCTCTTTATTACTGTTTGTCTCACAAACGGCTTGTTGTATCTCGTATTAGTGTTTACTATAAACCAGACTTGCGTGATGTTGAGTGCTTCTTCATTCACACATATTTAAAGTCACAGAAACACTCGATTCATCTGTTGTGATCTCGTCTCTCACAGGTACAACCCAGAAAACCTTGCGACGCTGGAGCGCTACGTGGAGACGCAAGCTAGAGAAAACGCCTACGACCTGGAGGCCAACCTGGCCGTCCTGAAGCTGTAAGATAACACAGTCACTGTGGGAATAATGTCTCCAGTATAAGTTCTAAGAGCGGATAAAACCAGTTCTAGTAACTTTAAACATTCATGATACAAATGTTTCCAATGTGTGTCTGCAGGTACCAGTTCAACCCCGCCTACTTCCAGACTCAAGTGACCTCCCAGATTCTGCTGAAGGCTCTGACCAACCTGCCACACACCGACTTCACTCTGTGCAAGTGCATGATCGACCAGACTCACGTATCCTTTTGGTGCGGTTTCATCTGCCTGATGGGGGCGGCTGTGGCTCAGAG